TGTTGTGTGACTATCGGCTGGGAGTTGCGGCGCGCTCCTGTAATCTAGCTACTTGGAGGCCTGGTTTGAGGACGGTTTGAGGGCGGGGGTTCTGTTCTCAGGCGTGCTATGTCGATCGGGTGTCCGCACTAAGCCCGGCATCAATATGGTGACATCGGAGGAGTCTGATGTCACCAGGTTGTCTAAGGAGGGACGCACCGGCCCAGGGCAGAAATGCAGCAGGCAAAAGTCCCCGTGTCGCGCAGTAGTGGGATCGCACCCGTGAATAGGCGTCTGTGGGTAGCCCGTCCAATATAGTTGGACCCATGCCTTTTTGGCACTTTTTCGCCCTCACACAGACACTACTTCACCTTATTGAGCCAACGCAACATCAAAGTCAGCACTTTTTCTAGCTTAAGCAAAATTACAATTTAAGAAAGCTGCAATATGCATTCTTCTATCACATTTCGCTCATATACATCTATATGTACATGTTCAAATCAACGTGTGCGTGCGTGGCTGCGTGTTTTGTAGACACATCTATACACCATTGGAATTAGACATTGTTAGTCGGAACTATTGATTGTATGAATATAAATTACGAAACACCAAACTGTCCCATTGGATGTATCGTGATGTATTAAGATGCATATATAGATATTCAACAATCACATTTCTAAGCCATTCATGCAAGTATTACTTTATTTAAGAGTCCCTTGAGAACAATCCGCCATAGATAAGACATGTCACAGCTCATCACTGTTATATTCCCCTCTCTCTCGTATAGAGCCATTTAATTCTTTCTTCATCCCCTTGAGTTGATGATAATTGTGGCGACTTGGAATATTTATACGTTAACAATTCCAAAACGGAACCTTGTCGCGGATGCGTGGAGATTCTCACACAGTCACTGTAAACTGTAGAATCATATTAGGCCAACGTCCATGCTAATCTTTCAAAACCACCCCGGCACCCCACCCTTCAAGCTAATCCCCAACCCCTTCTCAAACAGATCCAGGTGTTTGGTTTAAATATCTAAATACTAGTTTGAACGACTGGGGTATATTTTCACACAGTATACATGGATAATTGTCACTGCTGATGCTTGCTTGAATTATGAATGTCATTAAGTTTCCACCATTTACATTAAGATTTGAGATCCAAGGTCAAGGGTCTCGGATGATTCGATTCAATTTGGTACCTAACGTTTACCATTACGTAATTTTCCGATTCGTGAATGTCGATTCCTCCTGTCTTTTAGGGCATTCCCGCCTCGATTGATATTGTATTTACGTTTTCTTTTTCTACTGAATTGAGATTTCCCACACGCAATGTTTGGTTTAGAAACCGTCGATCTCGGTGAAGTTGGACATGCCGTGTATTTACAAAGAACATCTTTTACATGCAGGCCGGTTTCTGTGATCAGTGCAGTTCTGCATTCACGAACTCATAGTTGATTTTCGGTTTGATCGTTTTCACTGTCTGAGTCATAACTTTGCATAGGATCCATAGTTATCTGTGTTAAATAATCGTATATTGAGTGGGGGGTGGCTCCTCTCAGAAAGGAAATTCTTTCAGACAATGTGAACTTTGAACCGGTTTCACAACAGGAGTTGGCGTCACCCATTGTTTATACTGCGCGGTAGGGTAGATGTCTGTACTACCTCATAAGACCTTTAACCTTTGTGGCAGCGATGATCATATATATATATATCGGCTTTCACGAAGGTGTGGCGCGCTGGGAATGCGCTTGTTGGGGTAAAGGTCAAAGGGAGACAACTCAATCAACAGTTTCATGCACTCATCCCTGTGTTTTGTAGTGAGCGGAATATATACGGAGTGGAAATGACTGTGATTTCATGGGCCGCGCAGATTTCAGTTTCATTCGGGTCCACCCGGCTTATTCCGTTACCAAGATGTTAGATCGAGACAACTACTTGGATCGGAGACGCCGTACCGTTGACGGTCAAAGGAGAGTAACTATGAATCCTATTTATCATTTGCTAAACAGATTTAACTTCCTTTGTGATAAGGGACATAACTCTTGATTTGTTGAACGTGGTTATCTCCCTTTGGTTGACGACAGTGTGTGACGTTTTAAGCGAGACACTGAGAGGAGTTAAGACAAGGGAGTTAACTGTTGTATTTACACGATTACCTCCCTTTGATCATAACCGCGTGGTCATTTGCGATGTTTTCTTTCCTCCGCAAATCCATTTTTAGAGGAAAAACAATGATATAAAGGAAGAAGAATATTCAAACGCAAGAGTTGAGTTTTAATTCACAAATGAACCAGTTTGTGTGAAAGGGAAGTTAGCAGAACACATGCTGAGTGGAGACCGGTGTGGTTTCGTGGTCCGCGAATTGACGGTTTCCATTTCATTCTGGTCCGACGGCGTGTTCCGTTACCTTCATACTACATTGAAAGTGAATCGGAACCCCCGATGAGTGAACAACTAGGAGTTCTTAACCCAGAATACGTTGATTCAATCTATTTTTACACAAAATTACCCAGCCTACAGATTACATTTTACAAACCGTTGTTGGAATGAGTAATGGTTAAATTGACATAATCAAATATATAATCATTTCAGTTTTCAATTAGAATAAAAACAAACTCCGTATACTTTCATTAACCCGTCAGTTTGCAAAGAATTGCATTGATACAAGCACATGTATCCATGTTTCCGATTCCTCATAAATAAAATCATTATAGATTTAAAGATTTTGTTGAATAAGATTTTTGTGTTTGTTGTTTTACACTAAAATCACTTATATTTCACCTATATGATGGCGGCCAAGACACAACTAAGTCACCGACCACCCCACCTTAGTACTACAAGCAATATCAGGAGGCACAGGTGGCCCAGTCGTCTAAGGCGCCGCGATTCGCTGTGCAGAGTTGCGTCCCTTGGGCACGCCAGAAACCTATGATTGTGGGTTCGAATCCAGGTTCGCCCCGATTATGTTTCTAGGTTTGTCAGCACCATACCCGTGCTCGTGGGTTTCACCGAATTGGTAAACGTCTGAGACCTGCACCACTTCGGGCTTTCCTCCCACATTAAGCTGACACGCCGTGATATAACTGGAATATTGTTAAAAGCTGCGTTAAACCCAACTCACTCACTCACAAGCAATATCAGGCATTCCTATCTGAATAAAAGTGTTGAATGGGTTTCAAATGAAGGCGTATTGTTAGCATAGCTCCTGTATTGGAACCAAATGCATTTATTATGCGAACGAAAAGAAACACTATCGGATTTGACAGCCGTCGTTAGCGGAATACGTGCGCAGCCGCTATGGAAAACTCGGTCAAATGTAGCGGAATAACTTCGGCTGTATCCGTCAAAAGCCGATCGTAGTTAATTGACAACACTTTTTCCAGAAAACAAAACAGCGTGCGAGAAATGGCAGTGATAAACAATAAGCGACAAGCAAAGTAATTTCTTTTGGTTTGTCTATGAAGGCTATAAAGCAACTAGTATTCATATGCATCTGAATTTGTTATCTAAAGTGGGAGACGTGTGACGTCATTTATCGCAAATAAATGGGCAGTAGTTAGGTATAGCTGACATCTCTCCTATCCGCCCACCAGATCCCAGCAATCTTGGCAACTGTGGTAGCCAAACACACACATCGGGATCTACTGATGGTTTATGTTGATAAAATACATATAAATTAATATTATTGTTTAAGTGCCCATCAGCCACAAACGCATTCCTCACTGTTGATATTGAGTGACAGAATCTTGATTAGATCTGTTATATACAGTATATAAACAATTATTGGGCAAGTACGAGATCTAGCGCTAAGACTAAACAGTGTTTCAAATTATGGGTGAAGTCATTTATCTAGTTCTATGAGTGACCCCATTCGACTCCCGTCAAAATACATCGATAATGCATACAAAATACTTTTTTTGGTGAAAATGAATAATCTGTATCGAAGGGGAATTATAATCTATGTTCAATGCGCATTAACTTCTTAATAAGAATTATATTCTCTGGAAACAAGCATTGATTAAAACACTTTTCCGTTTCTCTTCTCCGCTATTGTCAGCGATGTTTCGCGCACTGTGGCGACAGAAAGTTCGACGAAATGGGAAATTCAACGAATATGACCGAATGTGTTCGGTTGCCGGTGCTGTCGGTTCCAACAGCGACTGTGTGGTGATTCCAATGAGAACCGCTGTTACGACGATAGTTACTGACTTTATATTGCATTTGAACCTATTCCTTCGCACTTGGTAGCCTGAATGTCTACGTACTATGGTGGGACAGACTCTACCCGGGACACACGGTAGTTGAATAAGAAGACAAGTTTATACAGTAGCATGATATTCTTCTTTATATTGAATAATAATATTAGTTTACAACAGTCATATTGCTAACTACATAGTATCTCTTGACCCTCCGGGGGCACGGGTGGCCCAGTCGTCTAAAACACCGCGATTCCCTGTGCAGAGTTGCGTCCCTTGGGCACGCCAGAAACCTATGATTGTGGGATCCAATCCCGGTTTGCTCTGATTATGTTTCTTGGTTTGTCAGCCCGTGCTCGTGGGTTTCACCGAAGTGGTAAACGTCTGAGACCTGCATCACTTCGGGCTTTCCTCCCACATCAAGCTGACACCCCGCGATATAACTGGAATACTGTTAAAAGCTGCGTTACACCAAACTCACTCACTCTTGACCCTCCATGAATAATGTCCGTCTGTTTATCACGGTTACATCCCCTCACTGATTAACTCGCTTGTCTTCTACCACTGAAGTGTTGAGCTGTGGTGAGGTTAGATGGGAATGGAATTTAAAGTCGCGTTCAAGATTATTGCACTTATATAGCCACGTGCGTGCACGTGTATGTGTGTGTATGTGTGTCTGCTTGTTTGTTTGTAGTTTAACGCCGCACTCAGCAATATTCAAGCAATATGACGGCGGTCTGTTAATAATCGAGTCTGGACCAGACATTCCAGTGATTGACATCATGAGCATCCATCCACGCAATTGGGATACGATGGCACGCATCAACCAATTCAGCGAGCCTGACCACTCGATCCCGTTAGTCGCCTCTTACGACAAGCATCGTCGCCTTTTACGGCAAGCATGGGTTGCTAAAGACCTATTCTACCCCGGATGTTCACGGGTCGTGTCTGCTGGCACAAGTCCCGATTAATGCCGGTTTCATAGTATTAACCCACTGAGATACCATGCCGCAGTTTAACACGGATAACCCACACAGACACAGTACACTGACTCTGAAACGACCACTCCTTGTTTTACCAGAGCACCAGGCAGGGTAACAACAAATATAATCTCTTCACGTGTTTTGGTATGACGCGGCCGGGGACTGAACCGTCAACCTCCACTCTCCGGTCAGACGCTCTGTCCACTAAATCCTGACAGAGGCAGTCCGTCTAAAACTGTGGTATTTATACTATTTATTTATATTCCTGCATATGTACTATTTATACTCCAAGGCGGGAGGTGGTGGCGTGGACATTCTCATGTAGTCCATGCCAGTTCACATGCCCATGCCAGTCTCAAAATCACTTCACTCTTCCTTGGTCATTTATTCCCAAACAGATCGGGAAGTTTACTGTAAATATTTAGAAACAGATCTCGTGGACGGACTGTAATTAATACTACTCAGTACACACTGTAAATGTCTACCAAATGTTTCTGCTCATTGTTGCTTGAACTATTTCCACATTAAGACTCGCAAAACGGTATAGATATTTAAAGTAGTCTAACAAACCAGTGCCACTGTTGTCAGTGTGGAAATATTGAGATACACTGCTTGGACAGTTTCTTGTAATCCGTTGTTAATCTGACAACTATTTCTATGTAAGCATTACCCCGAAACGCTCCCATACGCTGAATGTCTTCCTACGCACCAAGACGATAAGGAAGAGTTGCTTCCCTTACACCACAATGCGATGCTTTGTACCTAAAGTCATCTGATCAATATCTCAAGGCTGGTGTCGCTGTACTTATGTTTCTTTGTGTGAAGGGGATGTTCTTCAAGTACTACATATTAACATGTTACAGTTTGGAATGTAATCTCATTTTCCTGGAAATGTCGTTTCCGCATCATACGGCTGTACAGGGAAGGGGTAACTGGATGCTTCTCATATATCCTCATCCCCCTTGTCTAGAAGATAATCGTCCACATTCTTGATCTCAAACACAACAACACGTTTGCCATTGTTTTCATCCACTAGAGCGATGATTCTGGCATTGTCCGGCGTTAACGCCACGTGATGTAGTGTCGTGGGGATGCGGAAGGAATACAACATTTTCCTGTGGTAGTTCGCCCACAGCCTGACAACGCCTGTAGCCATGCCAGCCAGGGTGAAGCAGCCCTCTTTGGATAGCACTGCGTTGGTCATCTGAAAAAGAAGACTTTTTTCTCAAAATATGTTGAAGAGTTATTCACGTCGACATTGGCGTTAATAAATGCGAAGGGAGCAATACTGATGCCCATCTTTCTGTTGGTAAAACATGTTTCATGCCGTACAAAACAACTTAGTATTAACTTGGAATCAGAATTGAACAGACAGAACGGTTACCGATAATATTGGCATCGAACTTTGCTATTTGCTAACGTAACAGTTTAAAATTAACCACACCTTTCTTCTAAAACAGGTGGATCTGACAGGGTCTACACCATTCTGATAAAGTCCCCACACGTTTGGTAAGCGTGGCCTGGTTGTCTAATACCCCTTTCACATGCACAACATTTACTCACGTAAGTAATTTTACACATGTGTAACTATACAGACGTGTGTATATGTAAATTTACTATGCGTTCACATGAAAAGCCTCTTAGGTGTGAAAATAAAGTATGTAAATTGTGTAAGGCACACATATTCATCAGGTTTTTCACCACTTTGAACATAAAACAGGATGTTTACCAATCAAAGTTGAATGAGAAGAGAGTTACTTTACCGAAATCTTCGCATGAAGCAACATGTGTTTGATTTAATTTGTACACAAGGTTTTGACTCCAAGAAAACACTGTCTTCCCAGCTCTGGTTGTTCACATAAAGTTCGTACTGCTGTATACTGAATAGCGTCAACTAGAACTGTTGGCAATTGGTTAGGTGTTGGCAAACCAACAGAAATATTAATTAATATTAATCGTTCTCTGACGTTGGCATAAACGTTCACATTACAACATATACATACAGTGCAAATTTACATTTACATTTGCACCTGCTCCAGACATGATGTAAATGTGCCCCTGGTGTAAATATACACACATGAGTAAACGCGTTCACACGACAAGTATACTCACGTGTGTATTTTACACACGTATGCAAATACACACACATATGTATAGAGGTGCATGTGAACGGGGTACAAGGCGCCGCAATTCGCTTTGCAAAGTTGTGTCCCTTGGGCACGCCAGAGTCTTGTGATCGTAGGTTGGAATCTCGGTTCGTCCCGATTATGCTTCTATGTCTGTCAACACCCTTCCCGTGATCGTGGGTTTTACAAAAGTGGTAAACATCCGAGACCCCCATCACCTTGATACCCCTTTAACCCGTAATAACTGGAATACTGCTCAAAGCGGCGTTAAACCAAACTCAGAAACTCAGGAAACATGAAACATAAGAAATGTACTTCAGATGTTAGCGGCGTACATTGAAAATACTAGAAACGGTTTTAACCAATCAGAATCCAACGTTCATGTGCAAGGTGAGATAAATGGTAAGCAATAGACTTTGATACTAACCTTGTCTCCAGTTGCGGGTGAGTAGACCATCACCTTCCTCTGCATGTTCCACACACACACTCTGGAGGCCTCTGTAGTCAAGAGGTGGGCGTAGTCGCTGGTGAAGTACATGCTCCTCACTGCGGATCGGTGAGGCTTGGTGTGGCTCGACTTTATACTCTTACATGCCACTATACCCTCTTTACTAAACAGTTTGATAACTTTCAGGGTGGAAGTGTCCAGAACAAAAATATCCCCCTCACGAGTTCCAAACAACACTTCCTGTTCGTTGTAGAATCTAGACTTTGTAACCTTAATGTTGAACTCGGTTACGTTCTGGAAAGAAATTGTCTCGCCTTTGAAGCTGTCAGCGCCGGACGAATGACCACTCTTTGTCCTGAGGTCTGTTGTGATGCTCCTCTCCTCTCCTACAGTGCTGCCATCATCTGATGATCTGCGGTCGGCGTCTGTCACGTTCCAACTTATGATAAGTGTTCTGTCCTCTACTTTAAGAAAGCCTAGTACCACAGTGAGGTCCTTAGACAGGGTGACCCTTGCCTTTTCCATGGAGACAGTGCCAGTGATATCGCCGAGATGTAAGAAAAACTTTTGTTCCTCCTCCGTGTTGAGGTCAACAATAGTTAACACGAAGCCTGTGAAATACAGAAACACAAATACTTTCAGAAATGTAGGCATGCGCTTCACACATTGTACCCATGAAGGGAATCAAATCTGCATCTTCGGGGTGACGCTTGACTATTGGGCTACCCCACTGAATTCATGTTAAACGACAATGAAGGAACGTTTACCTTGTCGTGACACATTAACTGTTGCCATCTTCTTGGAGTCCGCACTTATGTCGCACCTCAGGACCTTTTCTCTTTGAAGAACAGTCTTCTTCTTACCAGTGCCGTTCACAATCTATACACAATGAAATAATCTCATAAATACCTTACAATCATAACTAATGAGCCTTTGTATATTTACTGAAATTACTTTTCATTAAGTTTATTCTTAAATCAAACTAAATATCAATATATTTCCTCGATGTGCCTTTCTGTACTGAATCTCTCGTAAATATAAAACGTCAACAGGCAAAGTTCCGGTGAAAATTAGATGAACGGATCACTGAATGAGTGGTAACACCAGGTGTTCGCGAAAAGGGAGAGCATGTCTTGTCCTACTGGTAGTACCTGCCTCTCACACAATTTTCACAAAAACGTAAGTCTTTTTTTATGTCAGACGGCACACAGCAGTACTCTTGCTATAATGGATAACAAAAACAAGCCCTTCTACCAATTAATCATAATCATTTAAACATAATCCATAACAAAATATATTAAAACCAACCGAGATCGTTTCTCTTTCTGCAGTGTCCCTTGTTATAAGACAAGCAGCTTGATCAAAGAAGACTGTCCTGAGCCTGTGGAATCTGCCACCAGGTGCCACCACCCTCACAGATAGCAGTTTCTCTCTCCTGACATCCCACCATGCAATCTTCTTTTCTCCGGTATAGGTGATGAAGATGTCGCCCCTACCTGCAGCAGTGTTGGAGGCATTGACCTCGAGGCAGTCCTGGAGGTTCCCTGACTGTTCCCAGTTGCCCCCAGACCGCTGTGTAGACTGTCCAGCAAAGATGTTCTCGTCAGTCTTATTGTAGAAAGCAGACACATCAGGACCGTTGAGAAACATTTTGCTTTTACCTTTCGACTCATACAGTTTATAGTAGGAGGGCAGATCAATCTTCTCTGACTCTTCCTTGATCAGGTCATCATCCCACATTATTTCAAACAGTTTCTCTCTTGCCGACCGGAGGATGTTTTGGAGGTTCCACAGCTTGGCTGTTCCGTCATTGTCAAGTGAGATGAGATGCTGGAAATGGATATGATCCGTCATGTAAAACAGCTGTTGGATCTTCTCTGTGTGGGAGGAGATGTTATGTATTCTTTGTCCAGAAGGGATGTTCATCACAACCACCATCCCTGTTGACATGCCAACTATGAGGAAGTGATCATCTTCAGAAGTTGTCATTGCAGTGACTTGTCCTGCTGTTTTCTTGGATTTCACCGATGCACTAAAAAGTTGTGTCCCTGAGTTGAGCAAATTCCCCCTGATGTTTCCAGTTTCAGAGGCAAGAAAGACGTGATCATGGCTCCTGGTAAACATGACAACATGGATGTCCTCATCAGCACATGAAAGTATACATTCAACCTCCTGATCAAGAATAGACAAGATGACTGCTTCTTTCTCGTACATAACCACTGCGTACTTGCCATCATTGGTCATGTAAAATGTGTTGCAGCGGCTGGACAAGGCCTTTTCCTCCAGTGGTATAGTTTCAAAGTTCTGCGGATCGGACATTTCCCAAATCCTCACACACCAGTCAGTTTGTATGTGGAGAGTGCAGATAGTGGGCTTGATTCTGTGTGACATACCTGCATCTCTGATTTGCTGGGGAGCTTTTATGACACTAGATGGCATCCCAGTCACAGCATGGAGTCGTTTGATGTGGCTGTCTGAAGCAAAGTATGCAGTTCCATCATCAAACACGTGAAGCCAAGTGATTCTACTGATACCAAGAGGTACCTTTCTCAAGAGTTTGCCTCCAAGGATATCCCATGTTTTAAGTGCATTGTCCATGAGCCCCGTCACTCTGTACTTGCCCCACACATGTGGTCTTTGAAGAGATGCTTCAACAGAAGCCAGACACTCGCCTGTTCCGAGTTCTATTGTCTGAAATTTTCCATTCATCAGAGACACTAGGTACAGGCCATCCTGACTTGGAAGCATCTGTTCTGAATGTCTGGTTACATTCCCATAAAAGAAGGAACCGCTGAAGAAACCACAGTTTGGAGAGGGGATCAGGATTGTTGTGTGTACTTGTTTCATCCATTCCTTGGATTGTTCAATGAACTGATTGAAGTGGTGGGAATGATGAGATGGGAACTGAGAGACTATGCTTGCAAGAGAAGTTGGGTTCTCCTCTAAGACATGCCTCAGGTTGAGTAAAAGCCTCCTCACCAAGAATATATCCTCATCCACCTGTAGTAAATCAACAATAGACTTTAAATCAAACAGAAAATCGTTCAAATATCCAGAGTATATCTCATTGATGATCCATTTGAAATTCAGCAGCACTGTCTCCTTGATTGTCTTCAGTGTATTTGGTACATCAGAACTGGAGCGGCTGAGATGGTAGGGGACTGATCTGAGAGTTCGCCAATTTTGGCTTATCAATGAAAGACCTTTTCTTTCTGTGATTTCTTTAGCTGTGAGGAGAAGCCCTCGTCTTGTGTACTGGAAGAACGATGCAAGCTGCCTGTGCATCAACATTTCAAATTCTTCTTGAAGGTAACGGTTTTGTATTGCACTTTTAAGTGATGTGTGTCCTATTTTCTTTAATGTTTCTCCTTCCACTTTCCTTTCTTCTAGGAAAGGATCCATCCACATGAAGACTCTGCATAGCTGTGCTTGATATGGGTATCCTTCCAGAACACTCAAATCTGAGTTTTCATTCTGAAGCTCATTCAAGAGATCTGAATCTGATAAGACCAGATGAAGGAGTTCCGAGTCCGCAAGACCATACCTAGATGTTGCTAGTAGAGACAGGACATACTTGGTAAATGCCAAACCTATGTTTTCCTCAATGTCTTCAATAAGTTTCTCAAAAGCCTCTGTTGCTGAGTCCAGGCTGAACCGCTCTGGTAGCGTGTGAGAAGGCCAATGGGCAGCAATAACACCCACTGCAGTCAGTGTAAGTGGTGTTTCTTCATAACCGATCTGTTTCAGAACCATATTGAACTGATCACCTGTCACTGTTTTGTCTGCAACCTCTAGGATTTTGTTTATGGTCTTCTTCCTCTCGTCTCCCACAATACCTTCGATAGTATAAAACTGTCCTGGCTGCGGACTTGCCTTGAGCAGTTTCAGATATGGATGATCACGATCTATGGTCAAGACGAGAGAAACATTAAGCGGAAGATCTTCCATGAGAGCCCATACATGGTGTGGTTCAAGATCTGACACATTTTCAAGGCCATCTAGTACGATGACCAAAGGACCAACATCCTCATCTCCAGAGGCTTCTGTCAACAATATCCGGAAGATCTTAATAATGTCCACAAGTGTAGCCAGTGGAGGGAACCTGACAATCAGTGTGTAGAGGAAGGCTATCTGTTTGCAGGTACTAATCAGTGTGTGATACAGTGAAGACGTTCTCAATGACCGACCAATGAACCGGATTATTGTGTTGACCTTTGGATTCCAGTTAACAGAGCATTCTGCAATGTGCGCAGCAAATGAACTTTTCCCTGAGCCCTTGTCTCCACATATGATGGCTGTCCTCTTGAAGGCTGGGTTCGCCAAGATGTCCCTTATCTGCTCAGTCAGTTGCTGGTTGTTCTGGTCCGTGTAAGATTTGTTGAGGAGCTTCTGGTGATTGACGTGCTGGATGAGATCAGCTGTTCCTGACACATGGTCAGCGATGTAGAATTGCTGGAGATCAAGGTTTTTCTCTATCAGGGTCATCACGTGTGAAAGGAACACATTACAGAGGCTCCTCATATAGTTCAATGTCTTCTTTCCTTTTGCGATAGGCACAATGTTTCCCTCGCAACCATTGTTTTCAAAGCAGCGTGTGATTATTGCAAGCAGATTTGCGAAACCTTTGTCATGATGTTCCAAACTGCTGTCCCTCATGAAGCAGAGGAGCTGACTGCCAGGCTCTCTACACCCGTAGAGTCCTGTCTCCACTTCCTTGGCGCAAACTGTAATGCATACAGAGACTATATTACGAAGTTAAAATACTTTCCACGTCAGTGTGCATGTGTGTGGGTTTGTTTGTTGTTGCACCCGGTATCAAAATATATATCATCATGTAAATAAACGAGTGACATTACCAGACAACCCATGCTGCTTGTGAACAATGGCACTCTCTGAACCAAGTCACCGAGCCTGACCACCTGAACCATTCAGTCGCCTCGTCCTTTACGACCAGCATAAGTTGCTGAGGACCATTTCTAGCCCGGAATCCCCGAAGGGATTCATATCAGTCGTTCATTTATAGAACTTAAGTATATGAAAGTATAATCCATCACCGAATAGTTTTCACGAATTGAACACATTGATAGAAAGTCAATACTAGTATCTGAATATGATCTTATGTATTTTTATGATGAAATTTTAGTGTTATCGTTATTTCTAAGTTTCATGGTTCGTGTGTTTGATTAAATATATGGAACACTCACTAGACCACTTATAGAAGTCCTTTGTTCTCCTCCCGAACTTCCCGTCCTCTCTGAGGATATACATGGCCTCTGTAAGGAGTTCCTTCAGATTGTCCTCTGCCTCTTCCGCATCAGGCAGGTTCTGTAGGTCCTCTCTCTGTGGGTAACAATTAACATATATTACCCCCTTATGTATATAAGTAATCACTAAAACATGTCGACCCGTGAAGATTCCGGGGTAGAATAGGTCTTCAGCGTAAAAGGCGACTATGCTTGTCGTAAAAGGCGACTAACGGGATCGGGTGGTCAGGCTCGCTGACTTGGGTTGATGCATGTCATCGATCCCAATTGCGTGGAGGGGGCACGGGTGGCCCAGTCGTCTAATTCGCCGCGATTCGCTGTGCAGAGTTGCCTCCCTTGGGCACGCCAGAAACCTATGATTGTGGGTTCGAATCCCGGTTCGCCCCGATTATGTTTCTAGGTTTGTCAGCACCATACCCGTGCTCGTGGGTTTCATCGAAGTGGTAAACGTCTGAGACCTGCATCACTTCGGGCTTTCCTCGGACATTAAGCTGACACGCCGCGATATAACTGGAATACTGTTAAAGCGGTGTTAAACCCAACTCACTCACTCACTCACTCCAATTGCGTGGATCGATACTCATGATATTAATCACTGGATTGTCTGGTCCAGACTCGATTTTTTACAGACCGCCGTCATATAGCTGTAATATTGCTGAGTGCGGCGTTAAACAACAAACCAACCAACCAACTAAAACATGTCACCATTGGTTCCCACAAGACAACAACTTATATATAATTGAATGAATGAATGAGTCGTACTGTCAACACTATGTCAACAGTGCTGATATGTACATGTTCTTGTCTTACCGCGAGCTCATACAATGGAGATAAGCGGTTGGTGTCGAGACGGTAGTATTCGTCCAGGAGTTCAACGCCATCTATCTTCTGCTTGATGACAACATCCCTGATCTGCTCCAGCTCGTCCTTTGTCATGAAGCCTGGCAAATCTTTGTCCAGTTGTTCACCGACCAGACACTACAAGGAAGATTGTAGCAGCTTATGATATACACCAGTCAGCAAAAGCCAGCATAATCGTAATCAGAACGCCATCACGCCGAACGTATGCCTTCGTTTTTGGTAAAAGACAATTTCAGAACAAATACAAGTTCAAACGTTGGCCATACTCATTTACATCTGTAGGACAAATTGGTACCACCATATTGACCAAGATATGCACCCAGAAGACTTTTAAACTGTCACTGAGGCAGTTTTAATAGATTGTGTTTGTCTACTGCACTGACTAGTAACCGGTTAAAGAAGGCACTACTAAGTACTATGTTAAACTATGTTAACTGACCACGAAGTTTGGTCCCACGGAGAGCCGGCGGCACTTTTCTACTTCCACCTCACACATCTTGAAGGTCATGACGTCATTGCCCAGTTTGTCCATCCCGGTCCTCAAGTCCACCACGTGACAGTTCATCCCCAGTTTCTCACAGTACCGCCTGAGTTCTGGATAAGCCACCTCCGCCAAAAACTCCCGCTCCTCTGCCATGTCTGTATAGATGACAGGTAAGATTTTGTTGTGATATACATTACGAATTATTCTCCCAGACGAAAAAGTGTTGATTGAATTTACTCCAAATTTCAGCTAGATTCTAAGAGGTTTCTGTGTGTTTGAGCCGGGAATAGACAATCTAATTACCGTCCTCATGGCACAATGATATACAAACATCAAGCATTCTTGATATGACAGATGTCAACGATATAATCGAAAATAATTATATAATTACATTTTAAACGATCATATATTATATTCTTTATCCAACACCTGCGTTGTCTCGTGGTAGAGCGTCCGCCCGGAGAGCAGAAGGTCCGGTGTTTTATCCCGGCCGCGTCATACCAAACGACGCTAAAGGTATTTGTTGTATATGTCTGGCGCTCGGCATTCAGGGGCAACAACAAGGACTTGTCGGCTCGGAGTCATTATACTGTGTTCATGTTAAACTGCGGCATGGTATCTCAGTGGGCTAGCACTCATGAACGTCGCTATATAAGTGCAATAATCTTGGACGCGACTTTAAACCCCATTTTCACTTACGTCACCTCACCTCTACCTGTATATATGCGAATCTGAAGCTGATATTAATAATATTCCCCACCTGGTGTGGCCGTCAGGTAGATCCTGACCTCAGACCGTGGTATATCCTTGTCAAGTTTGAGTTTGGCTGCCTTCAGATTGACCAGCATCTCTTTCTTCATGTTCATCCACTTCTGAGGCGTGGTCCGGACTCTCGTCTTGGCGCTCCGTATCCTGAGATTGGCAGTAAAGGAGGAAGACCTTTGTCGGGAGATGTTGCAGATCTGGGAGGTGGTGGTGGTGGTGGAGGTGGAGGTGGAGACGGAGGCTCGACGGAAGGAGTCAAGCCTCCCGAAATCCAGCTGTTCCTCCCCCGGGCTCACATAGGCCAGCTGCTGGAACCCTGCAACAGAAGAGGAGAGATCTCTGTCTGTCTGTTCATTTGGCAACTAGGTCTCATCAGGGCCCAAAACGTGTATACTATACGACTCCAAGTTTGATAGGGATATTATAATCTTTCCGTGATACGCGTGATAGAAGAGCGTATCTGATTATCCCTATCAAAAGTCGAGAAGTATATGATCAGCAGTGTCAAATATGCATGTGTGGTGTAAGGCTACATATCATCATGTTACATATGAGAGATGTTTACAAGATTTTATTCTTGGACCCAAAAGGGGAATTTGCAAGTATTTCATAAAAATGTTCATCACAAATTTGAAGGTAGCATGTATATATATTACGATAGTGGGTAAAGTGTAATACCACAAATTAAATATATAACATTCTATAAATGAAAAATTGTTTGTACTCACGATAGTGTCTCCATTTACGTACAATTTTATCTTTGGAGTTGATCATAATACATGCATTCGCTGATTGAGTGAGTATGGTTTTACGTCGCTATTAGCACTATTTTATCAATATCACAGCAGAGGACTCCAGAAGTTGACATTACACATTTAATCCTTGTTGGAATCAAACCCGGGCCTCAGGTGTGATGAGCGAAAGCTTGAACCACAAGGCTACCCTACCGCCCGATACTCTTGGAACTATTAAATTCATACCTATTTTTGTCAGATTCGATACACTGGGTTACACAAACACGAAAGGACAGATAAAATATACAATCATCTACACCCATGTGTATATTTATTGCTATGAGCATGACAAAACCAGGACATTGTTAACACCGCTACGAGTCATGGAATACATTCAACCATAATGGTTACTAACGTAAAAGCAACGCCTAGACCGCAGAAGGTTAAATCTACCAACTAAGTTCAGATGTTCTACAGCCCACATACACTAAAAATGGTACTTTTGTGCTAGTTGTGTTATTCCGCTAGATATTCACTAAGTTTAATAACTAAATAATAAAATGCTATCAGGAAGCATGTCAACACAATGTGGCAAGAAGGGGTATTACGGACACGACACAGAAACACATAACATGCAATACAGAACATGCACTATTGTAATAACTCAGTGACATGCACGAATATATGTTTGATAATGACGTTTTGTATATGGTTCGATATAATCAGCATACTGAAATAGCCTTAATGTAATATATATCTACCACAAGTAATCCTTCGTTAGACGAATCCAACTTTGCAATACATGTGCTGCAGATTAACATTGCTAAAAATATATGTGCAATAACTCTAGATTGTAGTAATCCTTATTAGGCATAACCAATAATGTAATATACATATGTTATACTTTGTCCTTTGTAAGAAAATCCAACAATGTGATATTAATGTGCTCTATTAGTCCTTGTTGGACTATCTAATAATGTGATACACAAGTATTTCATACTGTCAGTAACTAGGCGTATCCAACACGGTAACTGAGATAGTCGTTGTCCTTAATTGTCCCGAAGTGATTTGATCGGTCTTATAGGTGAGGTGAAGTGGGGTTTAACGTCGCGTCCAAGATTATTGCACTTATATAGCGACGTGCATGCACGTGTGTGTGCGTGTGTGTGTGTGTGTGTGTGTGTGTGTGTGTGTGTGTGTGTGTGTGTGTGTGTGTGTGTGTGTGTGTGTGTGTGTGTGTGTGTGTGTGTGTGTGTGTGTGTGTACTAGACCGGACTGATGCCGATTTATAGTGCTACCTCACTGAGATACCATGCCGCAGTTTAACATGAATACCCCACTCAGACACAGTATATTTTAGCCCCTTAATGCCGAGCGCCAGACAGGGTAACATTAAGTACCATCTTTTAACGTCTTTTGGTATGACGCGGCCGGGGATCGAACTCCGGACTTCCACTCTCCGGGCGGACGCTCTACCAATAGACCACGGAGGCGGTCGATCGGTCTTTTAACCCCCATATACTGAAACAGTACTACTCGAACAAAGTCCTCAATTTATGTTTACATTTAAGCATGTGAGCATATATCTAACACCTTTAGCATCTTATTTGTTAGTAAGATTTTTTTACTCAACTACTAAAGTAGTTTTGAAGTGCAACAGACCAAGACTGTGTTCAGTATCTAACATAAATAATTAGTCATAAATTGTAAAGCAACTAAACCCTTTACTTTGCATTCGGGGTTTTAATGACGCTCAACAACGACTGCAATCCAAAAAATTGAACGTTGTGTCTTTTTGGATGACATCCTTTGTTTATTTTTTCCTGGACGCTTAAGGTTTTACTACGAACAGCACAGGAATAGGCGAAGGATCAGAAATGAGTTTTATACAAAGATCCAGATGTGTAAATAAAGAGATAGTAGTCTAAGGGTTAGACGGACGTTGTTGTTAAATTGAAGAGGTATAGGAACATTGTTTGTGGATCGGTCCCTACGAGGACTCTAGGTAAAGCCGGTATCAGCAAGAAACTGGTGCTCATATTACCTCGCCATTCACTGAGCAGCTCAGAAAGCTTTTTGAACCTTGCAGCTCTGTATATACAAGTATATCACAATCATGGAACTATGTTACAAACTGAAATAGTTGAAATCGCAATACAAATGTGCCACAGACAATAGACTTTACATCCATATCACAGAGAAACTCCGTTCCTAGAGAAACAGACCTCGGCTCCGTTCCACAGTGCGATCTCAGCGCTAAGAGGTTCGTAAGCGTTTGTTAAAGTACGGGAGTTACGATCATCTTAGCGCTAAAATTAAGATCGCTTTGTGGAACGGGGACCAGATTAACGAATCATGGGTTCAAAGTTTGTTTTGGTATGTTGTTTTACGCCGCACTCAGCAATATTTCAGCCATGTGCAACGGCCTGCAATTAATCGAGTCTGTACCAGACAACCCAGGGATCGATATCGTGAGCAACGTCCCTTGCCGTCGGGGTACAAGGACACGCTATCAAACAAGTCACCGAGCCTGACCACCCGATCCATTTGGTCAACTCGTACGACCAGCATAGGTTGTCCGGGACCAATTCTTACCCGAAACCCCCACCCGGAATTATGTGGGTACATAATATCTTTGAACATACGTTGACGTTCCAAACTGGTCTGATAAGCAAGATTTCCGTACTTAAAGGGTATTGGATAACGGGGGTTCTCTGTGTGTGTTTGAATAACAGAATCACCATTTGATTCATATAATTTAGATTGAAGAACAACATCAGAAGTAAATAAACGTGCAATTTGAAACATGTAATTTTCAGTGTAGCTGTTTCCTGACGAGTCATACCTATGTATGACTACCGGGTGATCATCAACTGCTCTGTAGGATATCCCTTGGATAATGAATGTGCCTAATCTTAAAGCCAAATCAGGTGACTGTACCTCTTTTTGTGGTATTCAGGGTCTCCGGCCGGAAACGGAACCCGGTTGCTTCGCGCACGCCCAACAGCATCCAGTGACGCATTTCGGGGCCCTCTTCTTGCAAGCTGAAGGTGGAAAAAAAAAAAAACCCAATATTTTCTATAAATTAATCATGACTAATAATTCATATCAATGTTTATTCAACATCTCTCAGAGGCTAATGTTATTGAATAAAATTATCATCAATTTTAACGCACAAATCTATAGTCTCCTTCTCAAAATGATTGACGAGTGTTGTACCACTGAATGCCCCATGCCGAGATATAACAGTTTGCTATCGCACCTCACTGCAATACTCACATCCGACATCTGTCGCATAGCAACGTTGTTACACTTCCAGGCATTTCCTAATTTGGGATAAATAAACTGTGAATAAACTTATTTGACAAGCCAATTAAGAATACATGATTAGGATAATGTTTGAATATTAAATCTTATATAAGTTATGGAAAGACAAAGGTTATTATTTCATAGTATTTCCATATTGCATGGCCTATAGTTCTCTACTTTTCATAAGGATAACGATATATTTAACTACGTTCCCAAACAAAACATGAGGATATGTTAAATTTTAACTTGAAATAAACAAAAAATGCGTACGTTTCCATGGTAATGTTAAATATTGACATTAATTATTTCCCTATCAAAAGTTGTGCAGTATGGTATACTGACGTATCCAGAGTGGCTCTTCTCTGTACGGTGGTTTGATCTTTTGGTATTTGAGGGACAGCGCAGTCGAGGCTCTCTCTACACGCTGGTGTTTGATCAGGGGGTGGAACTCGATCTGGGGGACACGCAAGTACATCCACAGACATAGGGACAGAAACGCAAAGGGCTGCGTGATGGAAATTCACATATAAGAAAAACCTACAAACAGACACTGTTAAAATAAATTTTAAATTATATGAATGAAAGAACGAAACAACACATTACCGTTTTGAAGATAATACTATTATTACGATGAAGCATTTGTTGCAGCAAATAAAACATGAACACTGTTTTTCACACTTCTGACGAAAATTGTCAAAAAGGAAAAATGCATTTAAAATATAGTGGTAAAGATGAAACAATGAATGCAGGTTTTTCAAATGATTTTAAAACGATTTTAAAACGTAAACTTCTCGCTTTGAGGAAGGATAAGTGTCCCTTGATAAACAGCATTCAATCATTCAGGACAGACACTACCGCCTTCTGTTGGAAGAGGCTAGAACAACAGCGAGTAATAGTTCGTTCTTGGGTTTCCGCCTACGATGTTCAGAAACCGCTACATAACGAGGCAATTATCTTTCGAGGCAAGGGAGTTAACTGGCTCTTAAACATTGGAGCTTAATGTTGCAGGAACACCAGTAGGCATGCAGTTCTTAGCCGTTTGACCATAGGTTCCTGGCCCGCCTGAAGGACGCAACTCTGCACAGCGAAATGGGGCGCCACAGTATGACGCATAGGCTAGTTACTAGTGCGTCAAACGTGACACATACTCCAGAGCCAGGACCGCATTACACCGCGTCATGGGCTATATTTACAAAACAATTCACCTTATAAATAATAGCTTCATGTACAGGATAATCGAACCGAAGGCCTATGATTGCGATATATGCTGACTTAAAGATGGTTTATTATCAATAAAAATCCCACTGGGCTGGTTATTTATTGCCTGTGCATTGATTGCCATGTACAAGACACTTCAGAATTCCCTTGTAACATATGGAGAATATAGTAGATTTGTAAACAGATTTTACCTGAGCCTAATCTTTTAATTCCCCGTAGAGATTAACGCTTGAGGTGTGCCTAGCAGGTGGTTGTGTTGTCAAACATGAAATATACACACCTCAATATCATGGGGCGGTTGGGTAGCCTAATGGTTGACAGTTAGCTCGTCACGCCGAAGGCCCGGGTTCGAATACCAACATGGGTACAACGTGCGAAATTTATGTCTAGTCTCCCCTCCGTCATATTGTTTGGATATTAAAAAAGCGACGTAAAAGTATACTCACTCATTCATTAACTCGATGTCGTTCAAAACGATAAAATGGTATTCTTAGCAACACTATGATAGTATTAGCACTCCGCTTGTCTCGAACAACGGATAAGTCGATGTGTTTTCTATTGACTTCGAGTTAACGAATGTTGTTCATGTATATACAATGTACTTTTTAGGAGAATACCTGGTCGGTAATATACCTAAGAATACTTGGATGCTCATTAACATCCCAAAGGAAATTCGGTCAAGGTCAAACATAAAATATAAAGGTAGACATATCTATTCGTCCGATGTTGGTTCAGCGCCACCTACATTTTCCCGTTTAACTCCAAGTTTGATGAGCAGCTCATCTTCCATGGCAGTCTTCGCCCGGCGGACTTCCGGTTCCGGCGGCTTGTTCCAGTCTTCTTCATGTCTAGTTTCCATGGTGATCAGTCAAATATAGCATCAGGAGTGACTGGAGACGTGGTCAGCACGCGACATCATGTCTGCAGTGTAAGCTTCGGTAAGTAAAAGAGTCCATGGCAAATGAAAAAGTGAAATAAATCTCGCGAGCAGACGACAAATGGGGCTACTAGCGTTTAACAATGTCATATTAGTGTCTAGTGTTTAATGAAGCTGAGAAAGTATATTGTGGCGGTGTCCATGTGTATATGCCGTGTAACAAGTCAGACTCATACATACAGATTGAAAGTACCATCGATGTAAGGATCTCGACATACATAAACACCGACTCGGTGCCTTAACCTAACTCCGAGAACTTCATGGTCTGACGACGTTTGTTTGAAAAGGTTCCGAGAGGTCCCGAAAGCAGCGCTACACACAAATACATCTGCCAGTATATCAAACGCGCTTTTGAGTCATGTAGTCGTAATTCATAACCAGATTATCAAACAATGTTTGCTGACCAGTGGTCAGACGATGGGACCTACCCGTAACCAAGGCAATCGTCTAATGCAGCAGATGTGACGTCCCGGTTACAGATGCAGCCACGAGTTACCGAAGTGGCGATATATCGCCTGTGACCCATAGCTCTGTCAGATCAGACGCCTTCTTACTAGAGCCATAAGACATTTATTCCATCGACTGGAAGACGACTAAATTGGTGTGGTGGAGTGAAAGTCACCTTTGTCCGTGAAATGCCGTAATCACCTGCTGAGCACCCAAACCCTGGCCGTTCAATTGGCAATCACTTTGATCTCATCAGAAAGTGATCAATCAATAGATGCCTTACCACGACAAAGCCACGAATTTCTCGCCGTGGACTTACGCAGGCAATAAGGCAGGTCCAAGCCAGCAAATACTGGAGCGACCGATTGATTTAGGGGCTGTCGACAACAGGCTGTCCCACAAGGGGACACATTCGCCCGGTGACCATTGGGACTTGGGGGCAGAGAGGTGGGGTAAGGGGGGGATGGGGGTTGGGGAGATTGTTCCTGTGGCAGTAGGTCTCTCCCTTGGGTACTTTCTTACACATACATAACCCATTATCTCACACTATAGCAATAGAGGAAGCTGAGGGAATGAGTGAGGTTGGTTTAATGACGCTTAGAACAGTATTTCAGTTATTTCATGGCTTGATGTGTGAGGAAAGCAGAATGCGGGTCTTAGGCCTTTACCACTTCGGTGAAACCCACGAGCACAGGTGTGGTTCTGACAAACCTAGAAACTTAATCAGGGCACGCCCAAGGGACGAAACTCTGCATCAATAAATGGAAGTTATGGGCGGGGTGCGTGGCTGGAAGAACGGGTGTGGCTGGGTTTGGGGATTGGGGATGGTTGAGATGTGTGAGTTGGAGGATGGTGTTTGAATACACATCTGTCATTCAGTAATGTAAGCGTAAAATACATTTTCGAGATAAGTTGATCTGACCTGTAGAATGTTTGGTACCTTGGCGCACACTAACACCAAAAGGTACCAACAAGGCGGATCAGTGAGTCAATATGTTTTTTTACGCCGCGGTTAACAAACTTCCAGTTGTGTCATAACGTCATGTACATATTCACATCTGGGCCAGACAGACCAGAGGATATAACCCATCCACACCATCAGACCACGATGACACACATCAGCGAGGTCACACATTGTTACCACAATCCTCCTCAGTCCGACTATAGGGATGGGTACAGGGAATCTATTCATCTCGGAACACTCCCCGTGGAGCATTGAGCGAGCCGTGCAATTAGTCTATGTTATAGTTGTTTCTTCGTTAAAGACGGGCAGTAAAGGTCACTGAAACACAAGGGGAACCTCCCTATCGAGGTTTATTAGTTTCGGGGGCCGATGTGCAGAAGTAGACAACGAGTCTTCGCGCGTCTCAACAGCTTCAGTGTTTGAGTTGCCCCAGTCGTGGATGGCATTGTATATAGACTTACACGTGATAGGGCAATATAACACGTGGACAAGTGACAATTAGGCAGGGTGACATGTGGGTACTGACTATTGGGCAATAGAGATTTATACTAGTTATATGGCCCTTTAGAATCGTATCTGTATAGCAGGAGAGCTCTCCAACTGTGTTGTTTAAACAGCCACAATGGCAGGTGTTGCTAAGGGATACACTGCTGCCACAGGTTGAATCTAATCTGTAAATATGATTAGAGTTGGGTTTAACCTGATAGACAGCGAGCAGTCTGTCTGCAGACAGACATCCTCGAGTGTCCAGGGTGTAATATACCCATTCTAGTATGATAAAAACTCTGGATCCATTTACCATAGCTTCGTCTAGGAAGTGACGTCGCCATTTCTCGTATCCTTTATTTAGGGGGCGGTCGGGGAGCCTAGTGGTTAAAGCGTTCGCTCGTCACGCCGAAGACCCGGGTTCGATTCCCGACATGGGTACAATATGTGAAGCCATTTCTGGTGTCCCCCGCCGTGATATTGCTGGAATATTGCTTAAAGCGGCGTAGAACCATACTCACTCACTCACTCACTCCTTTATTTAGCACAAAATTTCTATCGCTAATGACTATTATTTGATTGGACGGCTATTTTTAACGTCGAATCTTTCGAATCGGGCTGTAAATGAAGCTACGGCGGCGAAAGATCCAGGGTATGTATCATTGTAGAATGGGGGTATAACACACTGGTAGATGAGGATGACACACAGATATCACTTTAGCAGATGCCTATCAGGTTATCAACGTATATTACTCTTAAAGAGCACAAGATATTTTTTCATATAAACTATATCGGGTGTTCTTTAACTTCTTTAGAGTAGTATATATAACACAAGTAGTTTGTAGATATTACCAAAATTAAGTTATTTATAGTTTCGCTTAACGCCGTTCTGAACTGTATTTCAGTTTTACCTGGTGGCAGCTTGAGGAAGTCCACGTGTTTGGGCGTGGTACTGACACAAGTATCACAATCAGGTCGAATATGGGATTCGAAGCAACGGATTCTGGCACGACTAAGGGAGGCAATTCTGCACATCATATGGCGGTGCCTTGGATGATTAGTCTACTAGAAATGTGAACTTCGCATTACACATATTTAGTGTTGTTTAAAGACACACAACAGAGAGATTTCTTTGTAAGATGGTCTGTATGAATATGGATATACACATGTGTCGAGATTAATAGCTTTGGTTATTCAGGATAACCCTTGACTTGCCTTTGCATGTGTTTGTGACGGGTGCCACCCTTGGGGGAAGGGTACTCTAAATCACTAAATGATAATGATTAAAAATAAAATGCTTCCTACATAGTCGGAATCGTACAACGGACGTACAATTTTTAGCAGAGATTGTTTGTCGTGATGGAAATCATAATGGACACATCAAGTAGTTTTTGTGTAGGAACGCCAAGTATATTTCAGCTGTTTGATGTTTTGGTGAGCATGCATTGATAGGCCTGATTGTTATCGTCCGTTTACGAGCTACGGTCATGATGTCAAATGCCGTCGAGACCCGTTGGTAACTACGAACCGTACAGCCATCGTGTTGCATGTTGACTTAATGTCGTCATAACATAATCACACATAACCATGTCTGCGTGTAATCAATAATCACATGATCACAAAATAATTATTTTAATTTTGGAAAATCCTTTCTTACCTTTCCGTGACGCTGACAGTTGTGCAAGCAGTTCCACCGCGGTTACCTTTCTAATTTGGCCCTAATGTTAGCTGCGTAGAGTCGCTATCGGTGTCAGACAGTCATTACAAGCCTGCAAATCTCGCACACATCAAACCCAACATAGAGCCTAACAACAAATAGCTCAATACAGCAATGTAAAGATTGTTATACAGTCGGCATACCGCCACTGTGAGAGTCGTAAAGACGACGGATAGCCGAACCTAGCGACAGGCGATACAGCATTGAAGTAGCAACGAGCGATATGGCATTGAAATTGGCGATAAGAGTTTGGCACCGGTCACATGCACAAAAGAGAATGCTGTTCAATGCGCAGCTAAGCTTTGTTACAATGTAAACAGAAGCATTGCTGCCTACCATGCAACGCAAAACTGATTCGCTACACCGTGCTGCCCACTAGTATTTATATATTTATGTATTTGACTCCATTGTTGAGACACAAAGTGCGAGTATTTTCTCTCACGCGACGGCGTTTTACCAGGTCGAAGAAATGGTATTTATTTTGGTTAATAAAGCCGAATAAATTTCGATATTTCATTGTATCTGTTCTTGAAGTAAGCATGCACTCTATTCGGTCATTGTTCGTGTGTTAAGAGCATGGCTGAAATGATAGGGCGGGTTAGTGTTGGAAGCAAAGACCTTTTACCATAGATATCGGTATATGGTTAGGTGAGGTGAAATGGAACATCGCGTTCAAGTTTCAAGACGTGAATACCCCACTTAGACACAGTATACTGATACCTTGTCCTTGTTTTAGCCCCAGACAGGGTAACAACAGGCACCACCTCTTAACGTCTTTTGGCAGGACGCGGCCGGGGATCGAACCCACGACCTTCAGCTCTCTGGTCGTAAGCTCTACCATATACGGGGACCACGGAAGCGGTCCCGGTATATGGTCTCAGGTTGGAAGTGTTAGTGGTTTGATTTGGGACCTGAACAGAGGAAGAAAATGATAAAATACGTGTGTTACGTGTGGTGAAACTGATGGAATAATCCCCCTCCCCCTAACACGCGCGCCGCATGCATGCACGCACAAACTGACAAGCACACCCACATCGTCTGGTCATCTTTTTGGTCACCTTGAGAGATTTCACCTGCCTCTTACCTACCAAGCCAGGGGTGTCGGCACTATATCTCCCCCTTAGTGAGGATGTAATCACACAGACCCGACATACTAAGAAAATCTCCTCCAACACACGAGGCAATCTACCCCGACATGCAAACCTACCCTGACACGAATACCAATGGGGACAACTTTATTAAGGTATAACGCTTCGCCGACTTCAAGTTCAATCATAAAAACGCATATTTTAATGTCAGCTGTCAGTTACATACGAGGGCTGGACAAGAAGTTTTAAGCCTAACGGAAACGAATAATTGTGAAAGTGTTTTTAAGTTTATTATTCAACATAATCTCCCTGCTTTTCAAAACACTTTTCATATCGATAGTAGAGCTTTTCAATTCAAGCCAGGAAGAAGCTTTTCTTTCAGTTTAAGAACAGGTGGAAATCACTTGGTGTCAGGTCTTGAGAGTATGGCGGGTGAGGAAACAGTTCGAACCCACATTGTCGCACAGCAGCCTTTGGAAGTCGAGAGGTGTGAGAAGAGGTATTGTCATGAAGTAGTAGAACTCCAGCAGTCAGCACTCCTCGCGGCTGTTCTTTGATATGATCTCCCAGGCGATGAAGCAAATCAGCATAGTAGGAAACGGTAATCGTCTTTTGGCTTTCTAAGTAATCAACAAGGATCATCCCCTTTGCATCCCAGAATACATTGGTCATAACTGTCTTCACTGATCTTGAAGACTTGAATTTCTTTGGTGCCGGAGAAGTGGAATGGTGCCATTCCATGGACTGACGGCGGCATCGGGGTGGGGCGGGTTTTTGTGGGGTGTAGTTGTATACGAGGGTTTAAGTGTTTTGGAACAATCGTTTCTGGTCACACGGGAAGTATTGTCTAAGGCATATGTAATTTGTCTGGTTAATCGTGAATGAAAATG